TCACACGGATGAGAAAGAGGAGGCACAGAGGCCACGGAGACAGTGGGAGGGCCAGGGTGGGACCCCAAGCAGCTCACACCTGGAGCCCAGACACCCAGCATCGTTTCCCCTCCGCTTTCTCTGAGGTCCCTCTCCCTCCAGCCACACCTTCTCTCTCTCCCTCCCCCGTCTCCTTCTCCCTTCTTTTCTCTCCTCTCTCATCTCTCCCACACACTCACACACTTAGTCTCACTCACACTCACTCTCAGTCACATACACATTCACACACTCACACTCTCGGTCACATACACATTCTCATAATCGCACACTCACACACCCCCTCATACACAAATGCTCACGAACACATTTCTGTAGCCCATCCCCCTCACAGTCACAGTGGAGGAAGGAGGAGAGAGGGAGAGATGCCCAGGAGCCTGGACGCTCCTCCTAACCCAGCGCATCTCCGATCCATCCCGTTCCAATGGATCAAATCCCAGATGTGATAACAGGCTTGAAGAGCTTATCTCCGTGCCAGAAAATCAGGAGCCCGCCCTCCCTAACCCTGACAATGACGGTGAGTTGAGTGAAGGCCACGACTGGCCCGGGGAAAAGGTGTGATGGAAGCCTGGCCTGGCTGAGTGGGGGACACAGGACTTTGAAGACCACGTAGTCCAACCCCCCAGAGTGCAGACCTGGACCCACAGAAGTAAAAGCACACACTTGGGTTCTGAGAAGGCCAGGAACAGAGTGAGGACCGGACTGGGATCTGCTGACCTCGCGCCACCCCACCCCCACAGGGCACCCCTCCCCCTCTGCCTGACTGAGTGAGGAAACCGTCCGGCCTTCACAGTCAGGCATCTGCCCCATCCGCCAGCTGTGGCCACTGTGAAGAAGGGTTTCACAAAAGGATGGCCACAGGTGCCAGGCCCAGTGGACTCTAGAGGGTGAAATGATTTGTCTACAGCATTTTGCCAAACGAGAGGGTTAGCGTGGAATTTACAGCTTAGACCACCCTGTCCAGAAGGTAAGATGTCATTCCCTCCTGGGTACTTATGACACTTTTCATTTCTGTCACAAACATAGAAAATAATAAATTGTTATAATTTACCAACATTCTACATTTACAAAGCCTTCCACTCGTCTTTTTCCTATTGAATCGCTGTGACCCTGTAAGATAGACCGACTTCACATTTCCATCCCTATTTCACAGATGAGGACGTAGAAGCCCAGGCACACAGTGAGGTTTGCCCACAGTCTTCCCAAGCCTGTCAGTAAACACCTTCCTCCACTGGGATGCCCCTCTGTGCTCAGCTCTGTGACCCCCCATTTACAGGTCCAGGCCAGCCCAGACCTGCACGTCCAAGTCCCCTCCATGCTGCACACGCACATTCCAAGCACCTTGAACTCGGCCTGTCCCAAACCACACCCTCACTCCCTAGGCTTGATCCTCTCAGTCTCACAAGAGGTTTTATCCAGCCAGCCAGCAAATCTGAGACCTAGAAGTTGTCTTCAACGTCACTGTCTTCTCCGCCACTACCCACCATTGCCAAGTCTTAATTCACCTCTCCAGCAACCCTCAAACCCAACCACCTCTGCCCATACCCTCTGAACCTACCCTGGGCCAAGCACCTTCACCGGCCTTCTCACTGGTTCCTGCAGCCGCCCTTGGCTCCTTCTTAATCCATGTGTTTTTAAAGATGCAAAGCAGACTGTGACAGCCCTGCCCACTTGAAGCCCTTTAATGTTTCCCATTGCTCTGGGGATAAAGGTAAGCTCTGGAGCATGACCCACAGGTCCTCGGTGACCCATGGGCCCCTGCGTGGCCTGGCTGCAGCCCACCTCGTCTCCCTCCGTGTTCCTCAGCCCCCTCCACCATCTCCTCACTATCCAGCTGTGTCAACCCCCAGAGTGAGCCCTGCTTCCTCCAGCCCCAGCTCATGCTGCTTCCTCTCCCTGGAACACTCTCCACACCCTGCCTCTATTCTGCCCAGTTAGCCTCTCCTCCTCCATCGGGGGTCAGCTCCAACAGCACTGCCTCTGGGAAGCCCTCCCTGATGCCCACTAGAGCTTGGAAGAGCCTCTGAGCGGCAGGAAGCATAGGGCAGTGCAGCAGTGAGGCACACAGAGCATAGAGCCAAACTACCTGGGCTCACAAGCTGAGCCCTGCCCTGCCTTCGCTGGGTGGCCTTAGACAAATGACTGGACCTTTCTGTGCCCCAGTTTTAGCTTGCATATAATAGGGGTAAATAAAGTGCTTCCTGGGGTTGCAATGAGTACTAACATGTCCAGTGGTTAGAAGGTCCCAGCACACACTAAGCACTCAAAGATACCTTCCTTCACGGTATCTTTCTTTCATAACACTATCCCGGTTGATAATTATTTATCTGTGTGATCATCTGATGACATTTATCTTCTTCATGAGAATGTAGGCTTTTTATAAAGACACAGACCAGGCCTGTTGTTGCATTCCCACTGTCTTCCATGCCCAGCCTGGACTTGGCACAGTGGCTGGCACTCAGCCTGTATTTATTCACTAGACTCCCAGTTATCAGGAGCAAAGTATCTCCCCGCTCCAGACCATGTGGCCTTTCCCCAGTATTGTGCATTATGCTCTCAGCCAGGGGCAGCCAAACTGTGACCAGCAGGCCAAATCTGGCCCAATGACTTTTTACAAAGAAAGTTTTATTAGAACACAAGCACACTCATTTGTTTACATATTGCCTATGGCTGTTTTCGTGCTATCATGGCAAAGCTAAGCAGCTGCAACAGAGACTGTATGGCCAGAAATACTTATCTTCTGTCCCTTTATAGAAAAAGCTTGCCAACACCTGCTTTAGGTGTGTGTGATCTCCTGGAAGCCAAAGCCCATGGTCATGGGGTGGGTGTGAGGGCTAAATGGGTTAACCCATGGAAGGCACTTAGAGGAGAACCTGGCACACAGGAAGAGCTCCATGAGTATTAGTGGGTACTGTGTAGTTCTGTATGCTTACTCATAGGTCAATAAGTACTCGTTCAGGAAACAAATCAGCTATTTTCTGCTTCTTGTGATAGATTTTAGCACCAAGACCACACCAGCCCCAGTGGGAAGTCAGGACAATTTGAGGGGAAATTGTGTCTGGACTGAAGGCAGAGGGACATCAAAAATCACAAAAATTGTACCTTTTACTGTACTCCTTATAGAAACAATTCAGACGTTATCCACTTTAATCCTTACAAAGTTTCAGGCACCAACAAATCATTTTTTAAGTTTGCTTATTTATTTATTTATTTTTAGAGAGTGGGGAGGGAGGGAGAAGAGAGGAAGAAAAACATCTGCTGGCTGCCTCTAACACGCCCACAGCTAGTGACCTGGCCCACAACCCAGGCCATGTGCACTGACTGGGAATGGAACCAGCGACATTTCAGTTCGCAGGCCGACCAAATCCACTGAGCCACACCAGACAGGGCACAAATCTTATTATGAGGCTCTTGTTAACATGTATGTTCCGACTCAGCAAGTAGGGCCAGATGGGGCCTGGGAACCTGCATTTCCATCCCACTGCCCCGTGATGCCTGTGCTGCCGGTGCTCAGACCGCCCTTTGAGCAGCAGGACCCCCCACCACTCCGGTCAGCTGGGTGCTACTCCTGCCCCTCCCACTCTAGGGGATGGGAGACTGAGATTCAGAGAGGTAAGACTCTTGCCCAAGGTCACAGAGGGAGTAAGTGACAAAGCCAGGATTTGAACTCAGGGGAGACTAACTGCAAAATCCCCATTCTGCTTCACCTGCTGGACAGCCTTGGGCAAGTTACTTCACCTCTCTGAACTTTAGTTTTCTCACATGTCAGTTGGAGCTAAAAAAACACACCCTGAAGGGCTCTTATGAGGATTAAGTTATATAATGTTTGTTAGGTACCCACTTAACACCTGACGCAGAGTGGGTGCTTGACAAATATTCCCTCTCTCCTGGTTCTTCAGTAAGTTCTCACCATCCCTGCATGCTCATGAAGATGAGAACATGGATAGCTTTAACTGTGCACATCCAGGCATGCATGTGTGTGCAGGTGTGTGTGGGCAGAGGGCTCAGGTTGGGCATACAGCATCTTCTCTTAGAAATGACTCACAGGGAGAGAACAGCCATTCAGGTCTGAGGAGGGGGCACCGCCATCCTTGCCTGGAGGGGAGGGAGTGCTGAGGATGCAGAGTAACCCTACTGCCCCCCACCCCATGCCCTCATCCACTCACACAGCTAGGGTTCACCCCACGCATGCCACCTAGATACTATCGGTCCTCAAAGTTTACTGTGTGCCCTCGCAGACCTGTCTAGGTGCAGATCAAAATCAACTCAGTTAATCATCGTAACAATCTTAGGAGGCAGGCACTGTTACCATCTCCACCCCACTTTACAAATGAGGAAATTGAGGCACGGAGAATTAAGATAATATATCCAAACTTATACAGCTAATAAATCCCTAAGCCACACTGAACTCCCAAATCCAGGCCATGTGAGTCCCTAACCACTATAATGCACTGCCTCTCTACGTTCCCAAAGTACTGCATAGAGCAGGAGCAAGAGCTAAAAACTTTGCCTAAGGATGTCAGTGAAGGCTTCATGGACAAGGGAACTTCCAGTGGGGTTTTCATGGGTGAATAGAAGTTTGCTGAGTGAAAAAAAGCAGAAAAAACATTCTAGTAAAAAAGCTCAGTATATCAAAGTCAGAAACATGCGATGACATGATCTGGGAAGTTTGCTGTGGCTGGACAAGAGGAACATAGGTACGAGGCTGGAGCTGGGGAAGTCAAGTCACACAGGACCTTGTAGGCCTTAGGAGGCATGAAGTTTGTGCCTTCAGGCAGAGATGAGCCCCTGAAGGGCTGTGAGCCAGAGGGTGGCTTGCTCCCTCTCCCTCCTCCCTGGTATTGCTAAGCAACCTCGGCTCTGGTCCTACGTCCAGAAAACCTGTGTGCTGCCCTTCTGTGCCCCCTGCATACCTCAGTCTCACAGCCACGTTCTTTCTCTCCCTGACCCTCCATGTTCCACAGGGGCCGTGAGGGCCTCGAGCATTTTCCCAATCCTGAGTGTGATTCTGCTTTTCATGGGTGGACTCTGCATCGCAGCCAGCGAGTTCTATAAGACTCGACACAACATCATCCTGAGTGCCGGCATCTTCTTCGTGTCTGCAGGTAATGGCCACTAAGTCAGGCAGGCCAGAGCCCAGGCCCGCCAATGGGGAGAAGGCTGACATTTGGGTGCTCACTGGCTGGGAGGACCTGGCAGAGAGGGGGGCAGGGGAGAGGAATCTCTGGGCCTTGCAACAGGTTGTATTGAGGGGAAGGAGACTGTGCAACCCTGAGCGCCCTCCCCCTGCCCACCGAGTCCTCCAGAAACATCCCAGACCCTGTCCCTCAGCCCAGTGGCCTACCTTCCTCCTACCTCTTAGAAAAGGACCCGGATGCCAGGTCCCTCTCTGGGTACTGGGCCTACCCTCACTTGCCCTCTTCCCGTACCACCCCACCCAGGTGGAAGCAGGCAGGGACCCAGAACCACTTTCTCAGCTCAGTTATATGACAAATCACATGTGCTTCCAAATACAGAAAAAGAACATGGGCTGCAGCACGAGCCATTTAGTAAGGACGACAGTCAGGTGGCAGTCCCCGAGTCCCGGACCCCAGCAGCGCCCACACGTGCCCGTTCGCTCAGTGCTCTGCTGGCCCACAGGAGCAAGGCCTGCCTCGCCCCTCCCCAGCTCTGGGCATTCGGACCCAGGCTACCTCGCCAAAGGCTTTGAATCCAGGCGATCTTAACACCCCACTACATCAGCTTCAAATCCCTGTGCAGCCTTGAGCAAGTTACTTAACCTCTCTGTGATCCACTTCCTCATCTGCAAACCCCTTGAAAAGCACTTAGCAGTGAAGGCAGGTGGTATATGCCCAATACACAATATATATTATTGTTACGCAACAGTTGTAGAATGAATGCCTCTCTCCCCTCTTCCGTATCTGTTTCCCTTAGTTCTTCCCTTTGTAACTCTCTCCAAATACAATCATAAACCATTAAAGTGATGCTTGCCAACATCCCTATATACTCACCTACCCATGCACTGCGGAAACCACAGCCCATCCAACTGCCCCATCCTTGAATCCTGCCCGGTGCCTGGCGTTTGGCTTGGAAATTAATGTCCTTCTCTCTGATTCTGCCCCGCCCACCTCCGTTTCCATCCTGTGCCCCACAGGTCTGAGTAACATCATTGGCATCATAGTGTACATATCTGCCAATGCCGGAGACCCCTCCAAGAGTGACTCCAAAAAGAATAGTTACTCGTACGGCTGGTCCTTCTACTTTGGGGCCCTGTCCTTCATCATCGCCGAGATGGTCGGCGTGCTGGCCGTGCACATGTTTATCGACCGGCACAAACAGCTGCGGGCCACAGCCCGCGCCACGGACTACCTCCAGGCCTCCGCCATCACCCGCATCCCCAGCTACCGCTACCGCTACCAGCGCCGCAGCCGCTCCAGCTCCCGCTCCACCGAGCCCTCACACTCCAGGGACGCCTCCCCCGTGGGCCTCAAGGGCTTCAACACCCTGCCGTCCACAGAGATCTCCATGTACACCCTCAGCAGGGACCCCCTGAAGGCCGCCACCACGCCCACCGCCACCTACAACTCCGACAGGGATAACAGCTTCCTCCAAGTTCACAACTGTATCCAGAAGGAGAACAAAGACTCTCTCCACTCCAACACAGCCAACCGCCGGACCACCCCCGTATGAAGCTACGGGGGCCTCGCAAGCGCCGCCTGCCGGGTCCCAGGCAGAGCCCGGAGTGGGGGTGCAGCCCGCGGGGTGGGCCGGGGGGGTGGGGGGCGGGTGGGGGAAACAACCATCCACGGGGAAAACCTTCCAAAAGCAAAAAAACAAAAAAAGAGAAAAACATAAGTAAATTTAAAAAAAAGAACAAAATATAAGAGGAACAAAGAAGCCAAACAACAGAAAACGTGAAAAACACATAAAAGAGGAAAGGAAAAACAAACTTTAAAAAAAAAAAAAAGCAAGAGAGGATAAAAATTTAAAATAGAAAATAAATCTAAAAGAAAATGCATGATTTCCCATGTACCATTATTTTAACATTTAATAAAAACCAATTTAAATGAAAAATAAAAGGGAACCAAGATAACATTAAAGCAAAAAAATGAGAAGGAACAGAAAGGAAAGGGGATGTTCTTTGCATTTAATCAGGACTTTATGTTACTTGTTTGTTTTTTTAAACTCGGGAGAGTTACTTTTCTGTTCCCTTTAACCCCAAGCGGGCTCTGCCTCCCTGGGTGAGTGGGGGGTGGAGACTCAGAGGCCCCCGGGGCCAGGTGAGCCTCTTGGTCACTGCCAGGTCCCTGGAGCCTCTGGATGGGTGCCCCAGGAATGCTGGGCCAGCTCCTGGCTTGCAAGCCCACTCCACCCAGCATCAATGGGGCAATTATAGGCCTCCAGGTGACCCAAGAGTCCTTGGTCCCTCCTGTCCGAAAGGTGCCTGGAGGGGGTGCACTTGGGGCTTGCCCAGTCCCCAGGTTCCCAGTCCTTAATGGTCCTTAACCCACTGTGATGACTTCCTAGGCCTTGAGGGAAAGGAAGGAGAGGGGATGGCCGCCGGTGGCTTGCTGAGATGCCCAGAAACCCCGGAATCCTCAGGGTGAGCCTCTTGGGGTCACCACCCCAAGCTCCCGTCCTTGGGGGCAGGAGATCCCACCCCCCGGGGGATATAAAGCAGCTCTCCCTCCTCACCCCTCACCTCAGGGCCACTAGATGACCCTGAGGCGATGGTGGACCCCCAGACTCATAGGCCCCCCTGCCCCCTGGGAAGGGGGCTCACTGACCCTTTGGGGGTCCTTGGACTCACTGAAGCCCCCTTGGGGTTCTGTGGGTCCAACAATGACATTGCAAAAAGGTTTCTTTTTACAAAAGAAAAAGGAAAAAAGTGGTGATTTTTTTTTAATAAAAAAAACCACAAACTATAAATAAATGTAAATATATAAGTGGATTTACTCGCAAGAAAATCAAATAGTATTTTTCTTTTAATTCTTTTCCAGCTTTAAACTGTGAAAACAAAAAATAGGGTGGGGTGGGGGACTTAAAATTTAGCAGGGAACTTGTAAAGAGAAAACAGAAAACAAATATACAAATCCATTTTTTAAAATACTGTTGTAAGAGATTAGAGCTGGGTTTAAAGCAGGAGGGAGAGACGAAAGGCCCTAGGGAGCTGCTCAGAGTTCCCGTGATGAAAGCCCTTCCTCACGCCAGGAAGGAGCTGCTAACGCCGGGGAGGGAGAGGATCGCGATGGAGGATCCAGTCTTCACGGAGATAGCACGCGTGCGTGCGCACGTGCACTCGCACACACACACACGGAGTCCTCGAAGCCCAGAGCTAGAGTCACTCACAGGGACGCACATGCCATCTGAGCCCTTCCATCCCCATACAAAGCCATGGGCGACAGCAGCTCCGTACTGGCTTTTCTGCTCACGTGCCCGCCCACCGCCCACATGCTCACCACTTGCATGCATGGGAAGGGCACCAGTCTGAAATCCAGCTTTGAATTCTGGAATCCCTTGCTGTGTGGCCTCTCTAGGCCTCTGTTCCCCCTGAGTAAGCATGTGGATTGACCCAGAAGAGCTCCAAAGGCCCATTCTTATTCTTGACGCCAATGACTTTTAAGATATGCCACCTGCCCAGAGAAAGATGCCAGAGACAACCAAAATAGCTGCCATCCAGCCCCCAGACACTGAGAACATTGTCATATTTTTGGTCAGCCGTTCAGACACACACTCACACTCACACACACACCATATGCCTCCTCACTGTGCTCCCAACCCCCTGCCCCCACATCCGATGTCAAAGCAAAAATCACACACACATGAGCAAATGCATCCTGCCGTTCCGACAGAGGAAAAAGGCACCAGAGGCCCCCACAGCCGCTCTGCACGTGTGTCCCCTTTCTTTAATGCCATAACCCCGTCACCTAGAAGGAAGGGGGCTTCCTTAATAGAAGAGATCATCTACCACACTTCCCCACTGTCTTTGGGTTCAAAGACAAAGAGGATCCTGAGGTTTGCTGAGAGTGGTCAAGGCCAGGGCATGACAGGAGAGCTTTATGGAGTCTGGTCCCAGGGTGAGGACTAACCTCAAAAGTCTAACATACTCCACAGACTGAGGCCTGGGGCACCCCATGCGGCGCCCCTTTCTCTCCAGAGGGATGAGGGCCAGTTCAGGCTGAGAGAAACCCCAAAGCTTTCCAAAGCCTGAATTTCAGCCCAACCTGCCAGCCACTCTGCCGAAGGTGGGGCGCCTTGCCACCCTCCTTCATGACACTGCCCTGGCCTGAAGTTTCTTCAGCTCTGGGGAATTGTGGGGAGTGGCTAGTAAGGTTTGGGGAGTTTGCACACTCCCAGCTGCCATTCCCATCTTTTGTCTCGGGAAAGAAAGCTCTGTTTCCAGGCCAGCAGCAGCTGGAACCCTCGATTCAGCCTGAACTACAAGGCAGAACACTTGGCAGCCCAGCCAGGAAGTTCACAGCAGGCCACAGGTGCCCAGGGCAGAGCAGTGGGGCCCGACGCCAGGTGTGGCAACGACCCAGGGTTTCTCAGTCTGGGCAGAAGTCACGCCCTCTCCCTCCCCTTCCTCACCCAGACCCTCCATCGCATCAGATTCCAAACCCGAAAGGGCCCAGGATCAGACAGAATAGTGAGGCCCCAAGAAAGCAACCAGCAGGTACTGTCCAAAGACAAAAACTGGCCCCAGTTCTCTGAGTGCTGGCAGATTGTTTGGGATGGAAATCAGTGTTTCTTTCCAGGTCATGAAGCCTGGGTCCTGGGTCCTCCTGAAGAAGGCTATCGGGTGTGGGAGAAACCAGCTTGGCTGAGAAAGGGCTGGGGGCCCGGCAGGAAGAAGCTGGGCTTGGGGCAGCCAGGGCACTGCTTGCCAGGATGGACGATTGCTCATGTCCAGCTCCAACCAGTTCAAGAAACCAACCTCCATTTTATTTTCTTGGTGGGTCCTTTTTTTTTTTTTTTCAGACTGTTAACAGATAAAATTTTAAAAAGCAGAAAACTAAAAAAAGAAAAAAAGAAAAAAATCCTGGTACATGAAATAAAGATTTTTTTTATAGCTTGGTCCTCACTTCCATGGATTTCTTTAATTGCTTTCCCAGTTTCTGGCATCCCATTTAAAACCACCACAAAGCCTCAGGTTCTCCAAGTTGAGGGACGGGAGCTTGTGAAGCCATGCGACAGAGTCCCACTGGAGTATCTGGTCATGAGTCCTCTCATAAATGTCCCTTACTGAGACTTGCACTCCTCCGGTGGCAGGGGGCTCACCCCAGCCTATACTGGGCAGCACTCAGTGGTAGAAGCCTCCTCTGCACAAGAATTTCAACCCACTCTCCTTCAAATCAAGTAACACTGAATGAATTTGTTCCCTTTTCAGCAGTTCCTCAGAAGATCGTGAGTAGGATGTCCCTGTCTTGAAATAAATCAGCCCCACGCAACAACACGACAGTCCAGGGTTTCACCTTCCCCAGGAAAGTGGGCAGGCTGGGATGGACCCAGCACTCAAGGGCTCCCCGTGCAGGGCTGCTCCGTGGAGGGGACGGTGGATCGAATGGGGAGGACCTGGGAAGGGGCCCTGGACTCTCCTGACTTGAAGAGATAGGAAAGGCAAGACGAGATGCGTTCTAGTCAATTCAGGCTGCTGTAACAAAATACCACAGAATGGATGGCTTAGACAACACACTTTCACTTCCGCAGTTCTGGACACTGGGAAGTCCAAGATCAAGATGCCAGAAGACAGGTGAGAATTCTTGCTGGCTTGCAGATGTTGCCTTCTCTCGGGGAGAGGAGTTCTGGTCTTTCTCTCTCTTCTTACAAGAACACTGACCCTGTCATGGGAGCCCTGCCCCTGTGACATCAGTTAACTCTGCCTCCCGGAGTCCTCCCTGCCAAATGCTATTGCACTGGTCATTAGAGCTTCAACATACATACAAGGTCAGTCCACACCAGGATACTAACAGAATCTGACCCTGGACAGTGACGAAAGTCCCCATTTCAGGGCAGCTAAAGAGCCAGCTCCCCAATGTCCAGCCCTGGTCTGGTCTAACTGCCAGGGTCAGCTATTTGAAGGAGGGTTGTACATGCCCCCAAAAATGTATTAAATACATTTAATTTAGTTCATTTTAACTTAAAAAAAAAAACTGTCCTACCAGATGGCATGGGAGGAAGGTATTTCAAAATCAAATTAAGATTTAAAAAGCAAACAGAAAAGTATCCATCTACTGGCAACAGTGAAATATTTCTTCTCCTCCTAACATCTCCTGTGCCCACATTTCAGTCGCCATCCTGACTGAATTATCCTTGACTCAGAGAGCAGGTACAAACTCCCAACCAAAGCCAGGACAAGCAGGAAAAAGAAGAGCTGACGGATGCATGTTTAAAAGGAAACTACCACGATACATTGCTCTGAAAGGAGGAAAAAAGCTTCGTTTTGTCCTACTGACATCTCTCATCATAGACTGCAGTGGCTGGAAGTCACAGGGCCCAGGTATTTTCATATTTTCATGTGGAGAGGCAGAAGGTGATCTATGGGCCCCATCCAGGTCACCTTCGAAACAGCCATAACCACACACAGTGACAGGGACAGGGGAGAGTCCCAGAAGTCACGACCCAAGTCCTGGCACAGACCAAGGCTTCTTCGTGCACTCTGGGACATAGGGTCTCTGGGAGGGCCGACACTGTCCTAGATTCCGGAAGGAAGCTTAGGCATTGCAGGCTGTCCT